TGTGGCAAAACCGCCTCACCTGAGTGACTGTGTCTCCACAGCCAGCAGCCCGAGGGATGGGAAGGGTGCCTACAGGAATAGATGCTGTGAAATCACGCAGTGCCTCGTCCAAACCTCTAACCTGCCACCCTCAGCTGCCCTTAGCTTTGATGCCTTGGTGGTACACCTGCGTTTGGCAGAATGAGGGGCTGGCATGGCGTGGTGACCCAGCAGCAGCTCCTGGTGCCCTGCACAGCCCTTCACCAGCTCCAGGGATTTCCACAGGATGTGCAAAACCCAGGGAGGCCCGAGGCAGCACTCTGCTTTCCACTCTGCTTTCCACTCTGCTTTCCACTCTGCTTTCCACTCTGCTTTCTTTCAAACAGCTGACAAGCCACAGCCATGTCCCTTGTCCATCCCCTGCACCAGCACAGGCCGATTCCTGGCACCTCTCCTGGGAAACTGAGGCAGGGAGTGCTCCTGGGCAGTGATGAGGCCCCGGTGCCATGCACACATCCCTAACATGTTAGCACAAATGTCTAACAACCTCCTTTAAAACAAAATGTTAATTAGATTTCTCTGATGGGACAGCATGTTTTACTGGCTGGAACAGGAGACAGGATTTCTGGCTTCCTTTTCAGGATTACCCAAAATGAGTAATTTTCCCAACTTTCTCTTGGCTTGAGAATTATTTTTAATATATTTGTTTATTTAAAGTCTCTTCAGATTTTTGTTGTTGTTTGGCCTTTCTGGCCTGTTTTTTAAATTAATTTAGTACACTTTCTTTTTATTTTTATTTTTTTTTAATCCCATTTTAAATATTCCAGGCTGGTCTCAGTTTGACAGCAAGAAGGTGGGTGTGGGGATGTCAGAAAAGTTATTTATATTGGGTAACTTTGTTGCTAACTGTTTCTTCTGGGAGTTTCAAGAAACCAGTTAGCCATAGGTTGGTATTTTTATATGGCATTACCCTATTTAAAGGAGGAATGAGTTCAGAAAAGTGAGACCTGGGCTGCCACTGGCATGGAAGAAGAGTGGTAACACACACTGGGTCCAACATCTACTGCAGGCTGGAGCAGAGGCAGTGCACCCAGGCTGTGTCCCAGGATATGATAGGGAATGCTGACCCCATGGCATCATGCACCAGAAAACTGCCCAGTTTCACCATGGTGCAAATGGGTTGTTTTTCAGGGCCACGGGATGAGGGAGCATGGAGAATGTTCTGGCTCAGGGCAGAAAACATATAAGGTAATCACTTGTCTCACATGATGCTGTAAAATCACGAATAAATTGGTGCAAAAAAAAATTTCTTTCATAGGATGGAGCAGGGGGTCAAATCTCCAGCCTTGCTCCAGCCTGTGCAATAAACCTGATTCCCCAGCCACTCA